AGTCAAGGTGCATGTGCATGTTAATTATTAGTTGTCCTGAAGGAAAAAAATAAATTCAAAAAAAAAATTGCAAAAGGCGCAAATACTTTTCCGACAACCTAATACTATTGAAAAACCACAATGTTTTGTCCATAAGTCCTTCCAAGTGCTGGGCTGTCCGACTTCGAGTTTGGTGAGTCCTGCCGATACCGCATTCGATGTTGTGATCTCATGTATGTTAAAAAGTACGTACAAGGCTATACCGGTAGTTTATACTTCACACGACTGATAGTATTGGGCACACTAGCACTCCTGGCCTCACTGCACCAAATTCTGTTTAGCTTTCGATATTGCATTTCATATACCCTTTCATATAATTTAGAATATAATGTGCCGTCGGATGGGTGCAGTGTATCCATTCGTCTCTATCTTTCACTCTTTCACCTACTCAGAAAAATAGAAGAACATCGGCTGATCTATTCTCCGCCAAAGAAAGCCTGCTCCCTTTACCGTGTCTTCTACGTGCCATGTAACCACTAAAACTTACTAGAAGTGCAATGGCAATTAGTCCCGCTGGTATTTCGACGATTCCTGAAAGAAAAAAGCCGGTCATCTTGTCCTCGCTGAGTTCGGTAGAGAATAAGGACAATGCCCAGTATGTGCCATTCATAACAATTCTGAAATTTCCAATGCCCAGTATGTGCCATTCATAACAATTCTGAAATTTCATAGACATCTTTGAGGGCATGGCGATCAGCTAGGGACATAATCACATCCTTATGTCTTTAGGCGGTACGAAGAACCCACAGAATATAAGCGTTCATGATGAGATGAAGAACTAGGCCAGGATTTTTGAACATGTCGAAAAATGTTCGCTTCTTGGCCTCGTCCGTCAAGTTACTTGCCGATTTGCACTCGTGCAAAGGAATTTCGGCACGATTGAAACGGGATGAAGTACGGATATACCTGAAGTAAGCAGAACTTACGGGGAGCGGAGGAGTACTTTCATGTGTGGAAGTCATAAGCAGTGAAAGAGTTTTTGCATGAAAACTTACTTGGAGACCCCTTTATTTTTCTTGTTCGCTATAAGCCAATGAATCGATTCTGGCGTAAACCTAGAAAGTCTCCATTGACAATATCGAATTCTATTTGAATTGGATAGGTTTTGAAAACCATTCCTCTAATAAGAACAAAGATCAATAATGAAAGTACTCATTAACCAATAGTATGGTATTGTAAGCAGTCCTGGAACGGAAACAGCAAAGTACAGCCACCGCCAGTTCGAAATGAACAGTCGCAGTACGCCAGCAGCGAGGTAACTGGAAACATGCAACGTGACTGATATTCGAAAATTATAAAGGGGAGGGGGTGAGAGTGTATAGGCGATAAGACGTAGAACAAGATTAGTACTTGGCAGGGATTTTGTGATCACAGGAACCTAAAAACCTCGTACATCGCCCAACTTCATAGCGCAAATAAGAGAAACGAGAGTAGTGCGTTTCAGAACGCGTTCTCTTTGTTGAATATGCACAGTGACTCTATCGTCGACCGGGTGAAGTCACGACGCGTAAGTAGCGCGCAGGTATTCAAAGGCAACTTAGAGTGAGCCATTTACAAATGCGTGTATTCCTTATCTCCTCGTAGCCAAAGGAATGTAGTATTGATCCTAAGCTGATTACCTCGTGGAAAAAGCTGGGATAGAGTGGCGTGCTAGCATATTTCCTCCTGCCGGGAAGCACAGTGAAGGCGCGAAAACGCGTGTGAACACAGTTCAGTGAATATCCTACTCCAACTTCGTTTTAAAGGCACAGTTCACGCTCCACGCAACAAATTCTAACGGCTTGTAGAGGTTATGTGCCTGGCTGGTCCTGGTCACGACCATGACCAGTCAGGCACTTGCGTTGGCCTCGGTGCAATAAGGAGCCAATCTGGAGGTGGCAGCATAAAATGCAAAAACGGCAAAGCCCCGGAAACCCGAACCATCAACCCAGTCTAGCGCTCCCAACTCGAAGTCCACATCGTTATCCACCACACCATACGTCGCCTTTGGCAGCTCAACCGTGGAGAGCCTATATGAAACTTCACCGCACTTTTCAACATGTGGGTCCACTTTTTGGCTACTGTTCACATTATTTCCAATGTCGCCTTCACCGGCCCCTTCTACTGTGCGGACAGTCGACGCCATGACTGAAACGAACGAGGCTTAGTGGGTTAAAACGGCGATTTTTGGCAAAATTATTTTCACTCCTTTTTTGGCATTCAGAAGGCCATTTAGCGGAAATGGACCATAGTTATATACTCAGTGCTCACACCCCTACACCATGCAAAAAACCATTTTCAAAAAGCGTCCCACGCCCTGAAAGACCTTCCTTGTGAGTTCTCCCCATAACAATACCCAGTGGCTTCCAAGGATTATAGGAAGGAGCCTCTCGCACACAAAAACTCTATGGTAAGGGCATAGTGGGAGCCTCGTCACTGGCTCGCGCAGACTTCCCTCGATCGATGTCACGTCAGACGAGTGTGGAGGCGGTACAGATTGCAGATACTAGCGCCAGGACCCACACACAATCGTCTGATCGCCAAATAATGAGGCGTTGTTTTTTTTTGCTTACCCTTAATTCTCTATTATTCTTATTGCTTCTTCGATCCCTTGTTTAGTTTTATATCACAAGAGGCTAAATAAGGTGGGCTATTTTTGCTATTAATAGAGATTTCCGTTAACTTATGCTTATGAATTGATAAATTTTTCCTAACCGTTGCCAGCTATTCGTACCAGGACTCGTATTTACGCACTTATACACATTGTATAGCTCGTCCAAACGCCTCATTCTTCATCATTTTTCTGGCCTCATTTTCGTGCAGTCCCCTTTTTAACGATTTTTCAAAGCGTTTTTCACCTTGGAGACACCGAATAGCGCAGTTTTTTCGCCTTGATGGCACTATTTTCCATCATACCATGACCTGGATTACTTCGTGAACTGTGCGTTTACCCAATTTATGCTTTGAAATGTAAAGAGAATCCCCAAAGAGTAAATAAACATTTGAGCAGTGAACGTGCATAAAAACTAGAAGATGTAAAAGCCTAATATTCCAAAGGAAATAACATTGTCTCTTTCTGGGAACTCTATGGCAACAGCTGTAAAGCTCGAAAAGAACTAAATTAGCTCGTTCGTTTGACTTCAACCATGTATCTACAGATTTGCTGCTTGCGAGCACACTAGAAGCAGATAAAGCGTGATTAACTTCCAAGGTACAGACAAGAGGACTATGAAAATGAATTGTTACACGGTCAGTCAAAGAAAATCGTCGACTAGAAGTGTGACAGTCAGTTATAGGAGCGATGCACTTCGACAGAAACGAAGATTGCGTAATTCAGTACGAGCACTCGGCACTTACGGTGACTTTGCCGTGAAATAAAAGCAGCGGACGCGATATTCGGCGAGCAACATTTTCTCGGCAAAATATTCATGGCACAACTCTAATTAAATGCGCAAATTCTCATCACTCCCATAAACGATAAAGGGGGTGCCGCTGCATCACGAGCACTAGATCGTGCCTGACTCCTAGCCGGATAGATGTTAGAGTAGAAGGCTCTACTGAACTCTTGCTACCGTTGCACATGATGTTGTGTTGAAATGCGCGCGAACTGTATAATATTATGTTGGCAAATAAGTCCTGCGACAAAATAGAGAAATTTTCGAATCATTTCTAAATCAATCGTTTTCATCATCAACCAATCATTCAGTTCATTTCTTCTATCATATCAATCAATTTTCGGAAAATATTTACCACAGAAGTCAAGAACTTCTTTTGTCCTTTGAGCCGATCACTGATGAGATCTCTTCAGGAGTGAGGAAGCTGTGACTCAAAGAAATACTTTACTGCCGTTTTTGGATCACATTAAGTAACGAATTTCTTTTCCAGAACGGGATGCTCAAAAAGGCGGAGCACATGGTAGTTAAAAGGGGGAACACTTCGGAAGCAAGACTGGTGAGCAACCTGGAAATAAGCAGGATCGGTGAACTTTTGACGTGGGTCTGAAGCGAATTTTCGAGGTGCGTTGTCCCTCTGTAAGTACCTGATTTACGGTCTGATCGTCCTTCTCTAACCCTGTTGGCCAAATAAAGAGGATCATACGGGCATCTAGTCTGCGTTTAGCAACTCATAGTGGGTGGATTCTTCCAACCTCCATTAAATTAAGGGACGATGCTTGCGTTATTCCGAAGGTTAGTATCTCCTGCAGTGAAGCGATCCAGCCGATTGTTGACCGTTGATCGGTGAACAGTGCTAGCATCGAATAGATTGCTAATATTTCGAGCCACTCCACTCGCGTTTTTTCCTTGGCGTGCTTAGTAGAAGGTGATGGTACAAATCGGGTGTTCTCCAGTCATTGGCCGTAATGCTGCAAAAGCCTACACGTGCCCTTATTTGTTCATGCCTTGATTGCCCGGGGAACTTCCTACAAGTTTGTCACCCTTGCTACCGTGTTCACACTGTTGATACAAATATTTAACGCTTCAAATTTTTTTGCAGGGTTTATTTGCCAACCTAATAGTTCTCACCATATCTAACCTGAAGGGGATTGCTTGGCTGATTTTTCTCATATCTCGCCTCTTTTGGAACCCCTTTTGGTGCACGTCATTTCCCATTGCAATGTGTTCCCTAGATGCACACACAGTGCGCCACCATTTGTGCCCACTACCTTTGATGTACATCACCTCTCCTCCTCTACTCGTGCTTGTCTTATTGTTGGTGCGTTCATTGCCTACTGTGAGGTTGTATAAAAGACGAACTAAAACATACCCGATCACCCATGTGATGGTACCCATCAATGGAATGAGCGAACGGAACTCCAAGGCTACTGATTCCATGCACAAAACCCATCCGATCACCGAGAAACCCTGAGGTGAAAAAATAGATGATTTTACATAGAAACTTCTACTTCGAACATGAGTTCAAGCATTCTGACGGCACATTCTTGAATACGATAGACTTAGCAAACACTGCTCTGTGGCCTTAGATCGAACTATCATTTCTAGTGTCTCAGCATTACGTTTTCTTTTCCTAACCATAATTGGTTAACTATCTGAGTAGTACCAACTTACCGTAGTGGCTACTCCAGCGAAAAATCTAAAAATAAGGAAGATCGTGTAGTTTGGTGCTATGGCGCAGATCAGATTTGACGCGACCGCCACGTAGAGAGGAATGAGAAACGTGAGGCGACGACCAAAGAGGTCGGAAAGTTGCGTGATGATGGGAGCAACGAGCATCCCTCCTAAACTTGCTTGCTCATAAACTCATACTCTCTTTTCTTTGGGTGGTATTTTTTTCCTAAAGCTGTTTCCTAGATATTTTCTAATACTGGCTTCTGGTACAGAGATTCGTAAACATACCCAGCATAAATACGGAGGCACCGTGTTCGACTGATTCATAGTTGTCACAGACCAAATTGAACTCAGAAGCCAGTGACTCGTGATTCGTATCGTTGTACCGATACCTAGGTACTATTCAACTTGTAGTTTTGATGTGCATTTCTTCAAGGAAAATGCCCTCGGTTATGGTTCTGAGATAATTTCTCATAATGTTCCTAAGGAATATCCAGGTAACGATCACCAACTAACCTTGCACCCGGAATACGGTCACATGAGAGTGTCCAGTTGTTGCTGTCCATCACTGTACATTTGTCTACGATCTTGTAATCCTGAAAGATGGTCCCATTAGCTAGGCGGGAGCTTCAACTTTATGTCATGGTTAACTGAGCCTGATCATTCTCCAAGCTTCACCGTTCACAACCTTCTTGTTGGTTCTGTAGAATAGAGGTTTTGAACCTTGTTTCAGTCAGGATTTTTTTGTTCTTCCATGGTATAGTGGTCTTTGGAAACCAATCTAACAAGGAACTATAATAGTACAACACATATCAACACACTGCAGGCTAGAAACTTTGATAACATAGTGATAGAATAGTCAAAAGTAGTCCGCATCGCAGTTTTATTCGTGTTTCTTTTAGCTTGCTTCGCCTGCGTGGTTTCGTTGTTAGTATGAATGTGCATAAACCAAGCTTCTGAATTGGTTTCATCATCGTTAAAGGCACAGTTCACGATGGAAACGATTTCTCAGATTCCCCCATAGTATGGTTTCGAGCCGTAGCGTTATTCCGTAACTGCCGTTATGAGATCGGAAAACATCCTGTATAGAGCGCAAGAAGGGGCCAGAAATTGTGTCGTGAGAGTGCCACACCCATAGTGGACGAGTTTCACGGCATTGTAGAGGCTGCACCATTCACAAGGGGACCAATGTAGTAAGTTCAAACAACTTGTCATGACTTATAGCGCAGTGAAAGGCAGTTCTGAACAGTTTTGGCTCGATCTAAGCAGCTCTTTGCACAGTTACAACAACAACTCAAATCTCGCCCAAATATCCATTCCATGTCATTTTCGTCACGGTATCTCGTACTATGAACCTCTATATTTACTACTTTTGAAGAGCCTAATTTTCCCGCAGAATCGGCGAATTCTCTCGCTGTCTTCGCCACCGACGCGCTGTTCCCAACCAGTTCTTCCACTTTTCGACTTAAAAAGGGTACCTCAGAATTATCGTGGATTGTGCCCTTAGAGACTACTGGTAGAGCGCCTTTGCTTTTCTATGAGGGTGCAGCTGCAGCCCTTCCTTCTTTTACCTTAACAATGAAAGACACTCAAAACGTGCCAATTCTTTATCATAAATATTTTTTTTTGGGTGATGGTGAATAAAGTTCAGGCGACATTCTAAGGCGTGCGTCTTGAGAAGGTGTACCCCGAGGTAGTTTCCGTTTGAAGAGATTATAGCTCGCTTATCCACTAACATGAAATATTTGAAGAGTTAGGCTTCTTGTTACTGCGCAAATCCTTTCACTAGGCATTTTCCATGAGCAGAAGCGCCAAGAAGGTCGTCGGATGGATATGATTGGAGGGGAAACGAGTTAAGGTGAAGGGAGTGCTCAAAATGAAACAGCGAGCACCGTTTGATTAGGAGGAACTAAGTGTAGCGGTATAATTATTAGTCATGTCAGAGGTACGTCACAGAAAGAAAAGGGATCTACAAAAGAATTGCTCCTACAGCTGTACAAATGTATTCCCATTCTCATTTATCATTTTCAAAAAAACAACCTTGGAACAGGTTATAATTCAAGAATAATTGATTAGAGAAGTAATTGAGATCGGTTCGGATGGAGCGAACAACAAAACAAAAACAAAGCTCAAGTAATGTGTTTGAGTTTGATCCAAGGTTGAACTTTTCCCATATCTCATCGCCGTTGTAAGTTTTGACTGACATTTTTGCGCGCCTATAATATACCGCTTACTAATTTACTGAAAAAGGTTCAACAACCAACAGTGAACCTCAAGACTTGCTTTCTCTCCCCTCTGCCTGTACAAATTCAACCTTTCTAACAATATACGTCTCTATTCGGCTGAATCCTGAACCTTCACTTCTCCTTTTTGGCTCATAATTGAACTCACCCGGGAGGGCAGAACATTTCACCGAACTTCAAAAGTAATTTAGGGCTGTTAAAAATCCAGCGGGAGGGGGAAATGGTATACCAAATCTTCTCACGAAGCAGTATCCCTTGGGAATTCTCCCCAAGAGCGAATTCGCGTTGTACGGCGAATAACCAAACGAATTCACTTACCCAGTGCACCCCTTCAGGTGGGGTGATCATACATTCGAACTTGGGGTCCTCTGTAATGAAGGGCATCACCATCATGTTGATGGCAAAAAGAATATGTACAGTGTTCGTTATAAAGTATGTGATCATCTGAAATTATAGTAATCATTCAGAGCCATACCAATTGTAAAAACTTATTGCTACAGTAAACAGGGAGATGGCTTCTTGATGTCATCAGTTCCCATTATAAACAAGTATAATCGGTAGGCACCTGGTATCTTCCATATTTCCCGTAAGCTGAGAGAATTTTATCGGCGTCCAGATGGAGATAGTTGACAATTGATGAGGTCCTTTTTCGCTCTGCTGGAGGCAATGTGTCGGAGTCAGCCTTTAATGGATGTATGGAGTTGAGTATTTCATTTGTAGCATTTGAATAAATCATTCGATCAAGTCTATGTTTGTATTATTGCCCTCTTCAATTTGGAGCACTTCCCTCTAGAGCGAAACAAAGGCAAAATAGAGCACAGGGTTCTCCGAAAACCTAACAAGCGGGTAACGTCATGGCGTTCATCATGAGTTTTGAAAGAATATTGTACCTTTGATATCTTGCGGACATTAGTGGAGGCATTCACTGTTGGTTGACTGCCAGCTTCGACATCCTCCATCTCGTTTTCCGTACAGGTATCCTCCACACACTGTCGACTGCTTGGAATCTGTTCAAAGGAACAATTGGTAACAAATTAGTGAAAACGATGCTGTTGAGAAACGTGGTTCTCAGTACTGAAGAGTAAAGCTTTTCTGATATCATGACCATCATTAGAACGGAATACTTTTTGCGTACCGAGAAGAAATTTCGAAGGCAGCGTTTTGGTGAAAGTCTGTGGTTGTGATTTTACATTCGAGAGCGGACTGCATCTTTGGTTTGGTCATTTGAATATTGAAAAGTTTTTACCAAAATTATTCTCAATAGGGATAATTCCACAATAGATGCTGCTCAATGTTTGGGACCCTCTCAGTCGTTTCACCCAAGCACCCGTATTGCTCCTCCTCTGCCTGGACGAATTTCTTATCACCAAAAATCAATCACCAAATATCAATGAATCCAATTATCCCGATTTACATACCCTTTTGAAGTTATTGTGAAATGACCTTCCTGTTTCTTGGGATGCCAGCATAGATTTCATTGCCAATATGAATCTTCTGTACAATAAGAGATCAGATGGAGATCGAAAGAAGCAAGTTTCTAATTTCTAAGACAGAATCCATAACCGCATTGGTTTGAAAGTTCCCTTTGAGAGAGCATATGTGTCAGGATATCATTCACAATGTACTCTGAAACGGAATTCTTCGATTCAATGTCATTGTGGAGGAACGATTCATAGCTATACTGACTTCGAAAGCTACTACTACACGAGAACGAAACAAAATTCATCTTATCGCTAGAAATCAATATTGTCATACTGGTAGTCAGCTGATGTACGGTCCTTTTTCTTCTCAAGGAAGAAGAAATCGACTTGCAGGAAACGCATTACAGTGTGAAGTGAACTAAGTCGGCAGATCGTGACCAATTAGTTGTTACCGGACAATACCCGAGTTTGAAACCAGTCGTCAAAATAGCACTTGCATTTGCGACTCTCAGAAGGTGCCTGTTTTTCCGGCGCTATCCAGATTGCTCTCTACCGGATCATCATTGGCGGTTCAGTGAGGCATGGAGAGCGACAATTCGATTCATTCATGAGATGGTCTGGTTAAGAGATGATCCTGCGCTTTTTGATTGACTCCTGTGAGCAATAACCACGAAACTTTATTAAAATTGATGTTGTTTTACAATAATTGACGTTTGGCTGCATAACTCTAAGTAGGAATACTGGTGCTGCGCTATCTGGCAATGCTAACACTGTGACAGTAGAGTAAAAGTTGTTTACAGTATATTTCAGGCCATGAAGTGGTCATGTGGTATGATGAAGGAAAAAAATGGAAGAGGGAGAAGGGTCACGCACTGTCTGAAATTGAACGTCTTACCCATCTCATGGTCGCGTCTCATGGTTGATTTTTTCGGCTATATTCATGTCGGAAGGGGGTGAAGTAGCAAANAGCGCACTTCACACACTTCACACACGCATGGTCACGGGTTCGGGTTCCCGGATGGAAAACGCCGGATACGCCTAGGTCAACCAAGCCTTTCATCCCTCCGGGGTTGGTGAATTGGTGCCAGACTCGTCTGGGAGGATAAAAACACTAACTTGTACATCGGCTGTCCACCGCAAGTCATAGTATAGGCCACACATGCATTCATTACGCCACTATGATTCTGAATGGAAGTCGAGTGCGGTGCGCATCCCTCAGTCGGGATTGGTTGACGCCAGAAACTTTATCCCTTATCCTTTTATTCTTGTCAGAAAGTGAGATGAAAGGCAACAATTGTCAAAGCATAACAAAAGAGTAAAAAGGCACAGAACGCCATAAAAATTCAGAAATGAAAGCCAGCTGGGTTAAGCCATACAGGTTACCGTACTCCTTTGGGTATCCGTATGCCTATTGGGAGCTTCTTACGGTCGCAAACTTAGAAATGGTATCTGTTAAGGAGTGGCAACATGCTCATGTTTTTTTGTCGCAGTACTTAGAAGTAAATATTTGCCTCAGTGCGCTTTGAGTTACATTAACAAAAATATTCCCAGAACTGGAATCCGATGTGCGGTGACTGGGAAACAAAATATAGATAATCTGCCAACACTGACATTGACAAAACGCCCTGCGCCGGTTACTTTTCTAGAAAAAAAGGCAATTTGAAACCCGTTTTCGACTATTCATGACAGAATAATTTCTAGATAACACTGATTTCAAAGGGTGTACTTGCATGATAGGATGAGCCCAGAAAAAGTTGATTTCTGCCATTAAAATGCAGGATAGCCTAGAAAGGTCAGAGCAGTCCTTTCCCCTGCTTCCGACTTTTTTCCAAAAAGTCTGATTACACGTTTCATCTCAGCAATGACCTTGAATCTTCGTTCGATCTTTTTCCACTCAGTGCCTTGCATAAGCTAAAGGCACTACAGAGATATAAGGTTCAGATCTTCAAGATCGATTCAAGTTTATGACTTTGGCGGAGAGTGCATTTTTGGGTATTTCGCAAACATAAGCTCATCTCAAATCATTTCGGATAAGACTAATAGCACACTTCAAAAGGGATGCGTCTCTGCAGTTGGGTTCCGAAGCATTTTTTTAGGGAAAAAGCTAGCATTGCTATTGTATGGCACTTCTCCCCGATCACACCATTGAACAGACAGGTGGACTTTGAGCTTTGACAGACAGCTTCATTTTTCATAAAAAAAAACTATCGTAACGACTAAAGTTAGTCGTAAAAGAAAACTGCCGTACTATTTTTGGGAGAGCGTTGCGATCATCATCTTCTGGAGCTTTGCCTTAAAATTTAAATAACAAAAAAAATGGCTGCAATGAGCTATTGAAAATAGATTGGTTTTTCGTCAACAAAAAATGTCCTTTTAACTGCCTTTCTTTTTGGATAAGAACATCTTTTTTTTTCAAATTATTTTAACGAAAGAAAACGAATCCGCTGATGAGCGATTCAAATTATTTTAACGAAAGAAAACGAATCCGCTGATGAGCGATGCTATTCCAAAGTGAGTGAAGCATTTTGATTCATCCAGGAATGCAGTACATGGTCTGTGCGATAAGCTGTGGAGTGCAGGAGAACGAATTCGGACCAAATGGAATGAAACTCGAGATGAGCCTGTGTGTGGCGTACTGCAAGCACTGTCCCATTTCCAGCTGTCAACTGCTTTTAACTGCATGAACCTATTCATTTTCGCTCACTGATGTCTCTATTTTATTCTTCTTATTTATGACTATATTTGGGCGGAGGTGGTGTAATGGGAAGTAGCGAAATACTATACTTGATTTTCCAGGGTTCGAATTTCGGGTCGATAGCGGCTCTGACTATCCAACCCTACACCCTCCCGAAGTCGGTTAAATGGTGCCAGTCTCGTATAGGAGGATAGATGCACTGATGACTTGTTTAGAGGCCGACCCCGCAAGTCATTCATTGCATAGGCCACTTCCGCATTCAATGCACCTCTACGATTCTGAATGGAAGTCGTATGCGTGGCTACATCCACCTAACGGGATAATTAACGAGGAACCCTTGAACTTTTACTTACTTTTGTCACAAGGGTCTTCAGTGCTGAAATGTGTTACGTGCAAATGAATGGCGTGGTCGGAATTCAGTAAAAGCTCAGTGTCTGATGCCTATCGATGCCCCTAAAATGTCGAAAACTTGAGGGTGTGCTTTAAGTCTTGCTTTCACCAGGTGGGAACGAGCTTAATCCCCCTGAGGTCCATCATTTTCGGATTTTTTTTTTGTCCTTCTAAAGGAAATCTATCCGTAGATACCAGTGACCTCGAGAACCACTTTCAGTAGTGGTGCAATAGCGAAAGTAATGCTCTCTGTTCCAAGAAAATCTGCAGGTTGCCTGTATTTTAACAGCATACCCTCGAAGGACTTAAATCAAAGGGGTTCCATCAATAAGGTATCGCTTAGGACACTGATAACTAACAGTATATTAAGTAAAATAATTATAAATATTAAACAGCATAGTGGTAAATAATAATAAACAAGCCAGTAACAAGAATAATTGTGGCGACTGCAGAGATACTTTTTTCTCAGACTCAGAAGGGGTTGCGATAAATTCTGGCCCAGATATCAGAGTCCAACTACTACCCTAAGCAAACCCATGTGATTGATAGAAACATGTTGTTATACCCTATGTACTCGAAGAGAACTTACACAGTGACCGCCGTCTTTGAAAGAATTTGATGGTCAGTTTGAGAAATGTACAGTAATTTCGGTAGCAGGCTTCGCAAGGCGTTAATTATTACTGTTAGCCGCGTAGGGGTTCTAATAGACCACCCGTTGTTCAATAGAGATTATGTCATTACGTGGTTATACAATTTGCGATAGAAATCGCTATTATAACTATTGCAGAGGTCATGTTCGCCGGTAATTGCCGATGACTGATACTAACGATTTTTACTGATGCAATCTGTGAAAAACTAGGGCATTCTGCTGTGATCAACCTAGGTCCATGAAGGTCTCGTCATTCTCACTCATCTCCGTTAGCCCTGATGAAAAGAATGATGTCCTACGCTTAAATGCTTGTAGAAAAACATTTCAATCTTTGAGTTACATACATGATGGAAGAAACTGTCCGTTCCAGGGCTCGTTCCGTTCAATTTATACATTTCCTAAGGCATACACAAGGTAAAAACTAGGAAGCAACTGAAGCACATTGACAGTATTCTCTGAGGTTTAGTTCAACTGAGCATCGCAGCACCCTGCAAATCGCTATCGAGATGAGTTTATTTGGGCATGATCTACTTCCTGGCAGTTCCATAAGTCAATGGGAGTAACAGTAAAAGAAATGGAAA